GCTCATTAGGAATGCTCGGCTGAGCTCCAACACTCCCTCCCTCCACCGCTGACGAAGCTGGGCTCATTAGGAGTGCTCGGCTGAGCTCCAACATTCCCTCCCTCCACCACAGATGCACAGCCGCAGCAGCGTGTACCATCTACAGGACGTACAGCAGCGACTCGCTGAGGATCCTCCGACAGCACCTTCCAAACCCCGACACCCTCTACTCCAACCCCAGGACAGTCTCGAGGGGCGGCAGACGCAGGGGAGGGGAGCAATTGAGATGCCCACTACCCCCCCAATGGGGAACAATATCGGCCATTGTCTCAGGGTCAGAATCCTGCAAGTCCCTCACTAATGGGGACACTGTGTCCCTACACCACATGGTTTGAGGGGGGGAGGTGGATGTAATTACAGACAGATAATAAATACTAGGCCCAGCCAGCTATATTCACATTCCGATACAGAACACAGTTGTGAGAGAGAAAGTTCAAGCTGAGACAGACAGACAGAGAGAGAGAGAGATAGCTGGAGGGAGAAGAGAGAGAGGGGAGAGAAAGACAGAGAGGTGAGGGGGTGGGGGAAGAGATGGAGACAGAGCGAGAGAGAGAGGGACAGAGAGAGAGGGGGGAGACGTGGAGACAAAAGGGGGAGAGGGAGAGAGAGAAAGAAAGAGAGGGAGAGGGAGACAGAGAGAGGATAGATGGAAACAGAGGGAGAGAGAGAGAGACAGAGAGATGGAAACGGGGAGAGAGAGAGAAGGAGACAGAGGGAAAGGAAGAGAGAGACCGACCGACAGACAGAGAGAGAGACAGAAAGAAAGAGAAGGAGAGAGAGAGAGAGAGAAAAAAGCAGAGAGAGAGAGAGACATGGAAACAGAGGAAGGGAGAGACATAGAGAGAGGGAAAGAAAGACAGATAGATAGGGAGAGAGATGGAAACAGAAGGAGAGAGGGGAGAGAGAGAGACAGACAGACAGACTGAGGAAAAGAGGGAGAGAGAGAGACAGAAGGAGAGAGGGGAGAGAGAAAGAGAGACAGAGGGAGAGAGGGGAGAGAGAAAGACAGGGAGAGAGACAGAAGGAGAGGGGGAGAGAGACAGACAGAGAGACAGAAAGAGAGAGGTGTGGGAGAGAGAAGAGACAGTGAGAGAGAGAGAGACAGAGGGAGAGGGGAGAGAGAAAGACAGGGAGTGAGACAGAGACAGAAGGAGAGAGGGGAGAGAGACACACAGACAGACAGAGACAGAGAGACAGAAAGAAAGAGGGGTGGGAGAGAGAGAGAGAGACAGCAAGAGAGAGACAAAAGTAGAGAGAGAGAGAGAGACAGAGGGAGAGAGGGGAGAGAGAAAGACAGAGAGACAGAAAGAGAGAGGGGTGGGAGAGAGAGAGACAGACAGCAAGAGAGAGACAAAAGTAGAGAGAGACAGAGGGAGAGAGGGGAGAGAGGAAGACAGGGAGAGAGAAAGACAGAGACAGAGAGACAGAAAGAGAGAGGGGATGAGAGAGAGACAGCGAGAGAGAGAGAGAGACAGAAAGAGAGAGAGATGGACAAGGTCCCTTTAAGAAACAAGACTTCACAATTGCCACTGACTCAAGACAGGAAGGGATGCCTTTTTTTTGGGATATGTTTGAAGGTTGGGGTGGGTTGTGGGAAGCATTTCGCTCTTCCAACGTCACTGGAAGTTATGTGGGGAGGTGGGATTTTGGGAGGAAAAAAAAAATGTGCAAACTGTGAGGCTCAGCCGCAAAAAGAAACAAACAGGACGATAGTGGGGGGATTGTCCTCACAGGAAGAAGGAGAGGTGGACGAGGAATGGGAACGATGACTGGGGAAGCGTTGAACCGTTGGGATTGTGGTTTTGCAGGCGGTTGGACATTCTCCTGAAATTCGGAACCGCTCGGAAGTTTGGAGACGTGAAGGAAAGTTTCCGCCTGTGTAGAAGGGGGGGGGGGGGGGGGGGGGGGGGGGGGGGGGTCCTGGTGGAAAACACGGATAAAAACAAAAATGCAATTTAATCAGCCCAGGCGCATTCTGCTGGACCTCCCCACTTCCAACAGCCAGCTGTTCCTGCCTCCAAAGTTGCAAAAGATGAGATTTTCCTATCATGGTGGAAATCTGCAAGCGAGGAACTCAGAGCAGCACATCCAACCGAGTGAGTTCCAGACCGGGAGATTGCGGGGGTGGGGGGGGTGGGGGGAGAGATGTGGGATTGAAGCCAACGAGAGAGAGAGAGAGAGAGAAGTGGCGATGGGAAACTCAGAAAAGGCACAGAGAGAGAGAGAGGTGGCTAATGATGGACATGGAAAGGGCACGCAGTCTGTGTGAGAGAGAGAGAGAGAGAAGTAGTTAATGATGGACTCAGAAAGAGGACAGAGAGAGAGAGAGAAATGGCGATGGGAAACTCAGAAAGGGCACAGAGAGAGAGAGAGAGAGAAGTGGCTAATGATGGAACTAGAAAGCGCACACAGTGAGAGAGAGAGAGAAGTGGTTAATGATGGACCCAGAAAGGGGACAGAGAAGGAGAGAGAGAGAGAAGTGGTTAATGATGGACCCAGAAAGGGGACAGAGAGGAGAGAGAGAAATGGTTAATGATGGACCCAGAAAGGGGAGAGAGAGA